CCTTCATTTCAGCTAAATGATAATTTTACTAGTGCAAGTCAAAACACAAGCACTACAGGAAAATCCTCAAGGCACTCTAAAAGCGGTGCCTGTGCTAAAGAAGCAATTCACGGACTTCATTGTCTAATATGATATGAATTGATTTGAAATCCCTGAAATAATCTGTAAAAAAATTAATACCTTCATAATATGGAACCATGGGAATGCAGAACTAGACACTTTTCTGAAGCACATCAACAACGTGAGACCTTCCATCAATTTCAACAACGACTTACCTTTCTTAGACGTATTGGTGAAAAGAACCGACTCTAAATGGGAATCATCTGTATATCGAAAACCCACTCACACAGGACAGTATCTGAACTAGGAATCCAACCACCATCAATCCACTAAAAGAGGAATCATCAAGACTCTACTAGACCGTGCCTTCGGGTTCTGTAATACGAAGGAAGGTCTCGAAAAGGAACTAGGCATCATCAAAAACGACCTTCAACGGAATGGTTATCCCAGAGTGATGGTAGAACAGGCTTTAGCCAGAAGACAGCAAGAGCTCCACAAGGAAGAGAAGCCTCCACAACCAGTACTTGTACTTTCCTACATCAGAAGATTATCGGAAAGGATAAGAAGGATTGGGTCCAAGTATAACATCAGAAACTGCTTCAGATCTGGGAACACTATCCGTAGCAGTTTCACAAAAACCAGGCCACCAAAGGCGAACTGCGATTCCAAGAATTGCATTCACCGGATATCTTTCGAGTGCGGATAATCATACATCGGTGAAACTAAGAGGCCATTGAATGTTCGCATTGCCGAGCACAAGAAACACTCACAGCGAGGAGAAACCACCAAATCGAGAATAGCAGAGCATGTTTGGTCTCATCAACACAACATCAAGTGGGCTTAAGCTGAAATCATCCACAGGGAGGAACACTGGTTTGAGAGAAAGTTCCAAGAAGCTGCATATATGTTGTCCAACGACGCATTTAGTCAAGCTAGTGTAGAAATACGCAACTTATGGAACCTGTAATCAAGCGGAAAACGATCAATTCCCGCTAAAGCGGGAAGGGGGAAGCAAGGGTATATGAAATCTCTCGAACGACTTTGAATAGTCATATATTGGAGGAATAGTCCAGTCAGCACCCGGGGACGATGGTGTAACTTGGTTAGAGACCTTTTTTCATTATGGAAGAGCTTCTAGTGACGTCACTAGCGATGCCATCACACTTTGAAGTGTTTAGGTGCGAACTTTAAACTTACACAAATTGAAGTGTACTTATTTTGTACTAAAATTTAATTTTCTGCGGAAATTTGATGTACCTTGTGAGAGTATTTCAAAATCTGTCATCATGCCTATCGGTCTATGCCTATGCCTATGGTCAAAAAGTGCGATAACTCGAAAACGGTGCCTCCTGAAGGAAAAAGTATCAATACCATTCTTGAAGATGATTTCACGATTTATATACTTTTTCTGAATCATTTTCTAGTAGCTTTCACTATTCAAGAGATATACGCAAAGACAAAAATGTATGACCTTTGACCTCGAATAAAAAACAACGCACAAGTGGGATTGATGGGGACTTTCTACTATCCATTTTTAATGACGTATTCAAGGTAAATACAAAAATCCAGCTCGTTGGGAATTTTTGCAAACTCTGTTTTTTTTCGTCTATTTGGCCTGGACTAAGTTACACCTACAAATATCTCTATTGCTAGACATAATGGGAGGAAGTAATTGACCTAGTTTTATTCTGAGGAAATCTGAATCAGGAAAAGCAATTTGTTTGGCCATTTCCGTTCTTCATGTCGGAAGATTATTGGCACTGTTATGAGACGGAATGAAAAACAAATCTTATTTTATCACCGAAGGAAACAACACTCGAAGGGGAAGATAATATACAGTGGTTTACATGTTTACTATAAGATTATTAGGACCTAAGAGAAAAAACGCGTTTTTTTGTGTTCAAAATTGGCTTTTTTCATCAACATAACCTCCATCGAGAGCTACACAATCATTCCAACATTTCCATAGCACTGTTGTAGTTGTATCTTGTTGTCATCTTGTGTCTCAAAATATGCTTCAGTTCCAGCAAAAATCTTCCCATTCGAGGGAAATTTCTTATCAGTGAGTATTTTTTTGGGGATCTGCGAACAGCCAGTAATCGCTGGGAGCCAAATCAGGCGAATACGGTGGATGTGAGGGCAATTTGAAGTTCCATTCATACCGTTTTGATTGATTCGTGATACGGTGCAATGTCTTGATGAAGGGGAGTCTGGAACCCCCTTCCCGAAATTTTAAGACATATTGAAAAATAAATCAAGAATGGAGGAGGTAAAAGCAAGAAAAATCACTACTCTTGTCTACAAACATTAAATTATCATACCATTGTTGGTTCGTCCTTTTGTTTAAATCATAAATTATTAAACGATGCGTTTGAACTCGGCTCGGGTAGTGTCATGACGGTGTTTGCATAGCTGGCCGAATTTTGACTGTCACAGTAAGTCTAGTTCGCACGCCAGCCGCTAGTGGAGGCACATATCCAATGTTCCACCCGTCAGGCCCGCGATTACGATTATAGCTGAAGATTTTTTAAAGATGATTTTCGAAACAACACAAAAAATTTGAAAAAATTTATGAAATCTTCATTGGAGTCTATAGAACGATAAATATAATTTAATGTTTGAAGATGATTTCATGCAAATGTTGTCCGCGGCTCCACTTTAGATGGCTCATGCGCAAGTTCCAATTTTGGCACACTCTCTCTAACATATCGACCGATATTTCACGTATGAATGCTTCAATATTGGCTTCCAGAGCGTCAGTCGTTGCTGGTTTATCCCTGTAGACATGAACCTCAACATGACCCCACAAGAAATAATCCAAATGCGTTAAATCACACGATCTAGGCGGCCCCAAACGTGAGATGAACTGTTCACCGAAGGCCGCTCTTAATTGGGCCATTGTTTCGCGTGCCGTGTGGCATATGATGCCACCGACCCATAATCCACACCAAACAGTGACTTTTTCGGGATGCATCGGTAGCTTTTGCAATGCTTGTGGCTGGTCTTCATTCCAGATGCGCCAATTTTGCTTGTTAACGTGTCCATTCAACCAGAAATGAGCCTCGTCGCTGAACACACTATGGATCTTCCTCCAACTATGCCAGCGCCCATTCATGAAATGTTAGACGTTATGGGAGGTCGTGTGGCTTCAATTCTTGCACCAGTTGTATCTTATAAGGTTTTACACCCAAATCCTTTCTCAAAATTTTCCACGTAGTGGAGTAACACAGGCCCAATTGCTGTGAACGGCGGCGAATCGACATTTCACGGTCATCACGAACACTTGCGGATACAGCCGCAATATTTTCTTTGGTCCTCACTCTACGTATGCGTGTTGGTGGTTCAATGTCCAGTAATGTAAACTGGGTTCGAAATTCACTCAAAAGCTTTTGAATAGCTCCCTTAATTGGCCGCCTAAACTGCCCCATAAATTGGAAGAAGTGCACGATGCACTTTCTTCACCGAGCATGAATTTTGCTAATAAAATTCAATAATTTGCAAGCGTTGTTCATTCGTAAGTCGATTCATGGTTAAATTATAGACCAAACTGAACAAGTTTGGCAATGGCACAGGACACGATTCACGCGTGATCTGTCAAAAACAGTGTTGTCAAAAAGATATCAGCAAAAAAATTACTCATTACTTGTGTGTAGTTGAGGTAGTGACTTCTGTCGCGTCGTCAGCTGATTCATACTTTGTAGTGACGGGATTAGTGTTCTTTTTGTTTGTTTAATGTTAAGGAATCAAGCTATCTGAGGAATTCTATGAGTAATGAACGATTAAATGGGCTTGCTCTACTGTCAATTCATTATTCAGCTCCATTCAACAGTGACGAAGTGATTGATGAAATGGTCAGATCTGGAAAAAGGAGATTGGTGCTGTAACTTGGAGCATTATTTTATTAAATTCATTTATGTAATGTTTTACTATTGCTCTACACTGTTGTTTCTCTAGCCTTCCTCATCTATTTGAAAGAGGGTGAAGCTCTAGACAAATCACTATATTAATGTTTATTCAGATAAAACACAATTAGTTTGAAATCCTCTATTACCTACCCTGTTTTTCAAAAATTTTTCTGGCAAGGTTAGTACTAACTGAAAAAGCGCCATCTATGTGTTAGGCCCGAGTAGTAAGTATATTACTACTTATTAACTTTCACTTATCAACCTGTTCACTTGCTTTTGACTTTTTAATTCATTTTATACATCCCAAGTTAGGTTATTTTTCCAATAATTAATTTTCAAAACTCAATACCTATCACTGTGAAAACTATACCTATGCACTTGCAAAACAATCACTCTGATTGGGATTCCTTTTGAATTATGCAATACACAGGAATGCATTTCAATAACAGTTTGGAACAAGAATTTATGTTGTGTATAAAACGCTGTTTACGCTTCTATATTTAAAACCCATTAATGTTCAAGTTTACCCTAAGAAACCCATGCCGCCCTTCTCTCACTAGGTAAACATTTCTAAAATAGCCGCTTTTCTCGTAAAATGAGCCATGAATATAAAATAGCGGCCACGATTGTCACTTTTTAGTTACAACGTTTTTCTTGAGAAAAAATGCTGAAATTTGTTAAGATTTCTCCATATTCTTCACAATAGTGTTGTCAAAAAGTACTGAACATTATTTCTTTTCACGAAAATGTCCGATTCTGATATCTTGCCCCGTTTGAAAGTTAATAAGAGGGGAATTATTCACCTCCGCACTGTATAATTAAAACATTACAGTGCTAAAATCATATCACAGAACACAGAAACAAGGGTTAATTCTCAAACGTTGCTACGTTCAGTCAAACCACCAATAAAAAACGACTTATTTCAGTACTGACGTGCACAGATAAATATGTTCCGTAAATAAGAACCAACCAACCCTGCGACTCCACAACAATGTACCGCATGACGTAAATGTTGGCAACCCTGCAGGAATCTCGCCAAAAAAACCTGTCTCCATTCCAGAAGTTCAGACTGTTCAACAAACATGGACAGTGAAAGTGTAGTTTTGACGACGATGGCTAGAAGATATGACTTTCTTAATGCCATCATAGGTAAAGACGTGATCGTGAAATCAATTCATGGGGAATGGTTCAGGGGGGTTTTATTCAACGTGGACATCAGTCTGAATATCGTGTTGTGCAGAACTATGGCAATGGAGAATGATGCAGGTAAGTGATATTTTCTTAAATTCCGGACAAGAAGGCCAATATTTATGTGGATAATTATCGTTGTGCTCTTCATTGACATGCTTTGGGAATTATATGAGTAAAACTTGGTTGCGTTCGATTTTTTACTTAGAATAGTGTAGTAAAACCAGTGAGAATTTTAATGGCTCGTTCTGAAGGTGGTTCATATTAGTATATCTATTGAAATGAGCCGAAAAAATGAATATCGCTGGCTTCAAAACAACAATATGCGAGCGTAAGGACAAAAAAACACATATTATCTATTTCTTGATGTTTCTCTGGGTTTTCAAATTGTCACAATCTGAAGAAGAATCTGCTTAAGTTTAATAAAGAGTGAACTGAGAAGATCATATATAATCTAACCCTGTCTGTGAATAACTTACCCCAGATTCAGTTATTCAATATACAAAAATGAGTGGAATTGAATGAATTATTGCAAATTTTAAGGTTATAGACACGATAGGTTATCTGATAAAGTGATATGGATGAAGCTTATACTTCAAATCAAACTTTTGTCCGTCTTGTACAGTATAGAGAAAAATACACTAAAAAAATCGCAGCCCGTTGAATGCTTTACAAGACCTTTTTAATTGTGAAGAAAACCTGCTAAACAGTGAAGATTTTTTTCTATACCTCCAAAGCTATCGATAGTACTTCAAGAAGAGTTTTTTGTTTGATATAAAATTCCCTACAAAAAGTTCCTATACTTTTTAGTAGGAGTTGTTTCAGCATTCCAATCGGATTGTTCATACAGGGTGGCAAACAAAAATTGAATATCCACTTCTTCAAATCTGTAAATGGGAGTTTTTTCTAAAAATTATTTATTTATGCACCAATTTCTATTTTGTCCCCTCCAAAGTAGTCCCCCTCAGATATAATACAGCGTGCCAGCGTTTCTTCCAATCTTCCAAGCAGTTCTGATATGCACTCTTTGGTATGTCTTCGAGCTTTCTCAGTGATTCGGTTTTTATCTTCTTAATCGTCGCCAAACGGCGTCCTTTCATGGGTCTCTTCAATCATGGGAGCTGAAAAAAGTCGCAGGGCGGCAAATCTGGTAAATACAGTGGCTGAGGCATGATTACGATGTTGTTTGTTTATCCAAGATAATACTCCTTATTGACCATACGATCATGTTTACGACCTCCAGTGAACAAAACCTTGACATTTGACCGAATTTTTCAAGCTTTTTTGGTGTTTTCTCTTCTGGGCTCTTCCATTGGGACGGTTGAACTGGATTTTTTTCGATGTTATAACCATATATCCATGATTCTTCGCCAGTTATGACCCTTTCAAGCAAATCTCGATCGCTGTTGACGTCATTCAATAATTCCTGAGCGATGCTAACGCTCATAAACATTCACCTTATTTTTTTGACGGAGCACTTAGATGAAAAAGACANACATTATTAACAAAAAAGTATTAAAATACTAGAGCGATTCCAAAAATGTATTAATATACGGGGTGTTCCATTTAAAAAAATATAATTGCTAGGACTTTTTGATAGAAGTGGCAACGCCGCAATGCTGAAAATATTTTAGATCGACAGAACAGGTAAGGAAATGTGAGAGGTGAAATTTTCAGAAAAATCATGCTTTGCGTTTTCCAGAAACGTCTAACCTACCATCGACCGTGAGTCACGCTGTATAATATCAGACAATGGAAGTCCGAACTAATGGAATTCATCATGAAATATTGTCGATCACCTTCAAACAAACAGGTTAGGCTATGTGACAAAGCCGAAACCTTTCTTTGCCACACATTTTTTTTTGAAAATGTAAAAAGCTGAATAACTCAAAACTATTGATTCAATTGGCTGGATATTTGAGTGATATTTCAAATGGTGTATAGGACGACTACGAGTACAGGATTTTTCTTTCCAAACTCAACAAAATAATTCATTACTTTTATTTTCATCACACTAGGTTGTTTGGGAATAATCATCCTCGATTGAAACTCAGACAAAATATTCTCTTTTTCAGTAAATAAAGAAGTATTTTTCATCAGATCCGACACGTATCTGTATATCGGTATAGACGACGGCAGTGTCATTATTGAAGAACCGAACACTACAAGAAAAACCAATGAAGCCCATCAGGATTTCGAGGAGGATTTATTCTACACCAGTAATGATTCGGAAAAGGACATCTTTGGTATTTCAAAAAGAGTTGCCCGGCAAAATTCATTGGAGATTTCAACGGAGAATCTTTGAAAGCCACTGGCAACTAGTCTAAGTGTGTTTTTTACGTTACAGTTTATTTCAAAGAAGTTTTTTTTAGTTGATGTAGCTCAAGTGAGATGTTTTAATAAAGATATAGACATATTATCTTATAAGAAATTTGTCTTCATGGCGGTGGTAAACATTCCGTCGAATGGTGGGAATCGATCGTTCAGAAAGCCCGCGTTGAAGAATTGTCGAAATTATTTCTGAGGCTAAATTGGCACAACTGTCCGCCATTCGTCATTTACTTTGTCAGTACCCAATTTGTTAATTAACCTCAAACGCGTTTTGCGATTTTAACAATGAATGAAAATATCGAACAAAAAATTTGTCTGCAATATCGCTACAAAAGGAGTTTCATGTGCCGAAGCGTAGAACATGTTGTATAAAGGCTCGTTCACACGATGACGCTGTTTGCCAATTGGCAGACGAGTTGGCAAAGCCGAATCGATGTTGATGGGACCATTGGCACGTGCCAATGAGCTAGACGTGTTCCCAGTGGCTCCAAAGGAGACTAATGAGAACAAACGACTTGTAGTCGCTAGTCTCTGCCAATTGGCATTGCCAACGGCAAATCCCGACATAATGTAGATGCGCTTTAAGGCGGTGAATCTACTATATCGAATATACGCGCGTTTGTGTGGTACAGTGCATCTTAAAGCGGTTGAGATGCGGTGGTAGATTTGCCCCGATCTGGCCATCAACATCCTCAACTGGACTTACCATCGCTAAAATAAAGGAAATGGTCTCTCGCTCTTACACACACATACACATCTTTACATGAAATATTACTTATTTCCCAAATCTAAGTATATTTTCCTAAGATAATGACGACTACATTCTACGGAAAAAAAATGCTGTCAAGTATAATGAATAAGTCAATTTCGGTCCCGACAAAACTAACGCTGTAAATACCCAACATTCGCAGTTACTTTCAATATCTTACGTTGGTGTAGAGGCTAAGGACAATGTCTACCGCGCGGACGTCGTGGGTTCGAATCTCATAACTATAAACTTTTTTTAATTAAAATCATGTGACAAGGGAGCCTGAGCACTGATGCGGAATCTCAAGGGGGCCGAGGGCGGAGTACTAAGGGAGCTGATAGGTTAGGTGGAGTACCAAGGGGGCCGAGGGGCGGAGTTCCACGCTTAAATCGCTACGATACTCCTTCCATCCTGCGTCGATTTCTATGAAGTTTCCCCCACTCCCAAGTGGTCCAGGAACAAGTTTGTTCATCTACTACTGAGAATCATCGTTCAAGGTAGCTGCTGAAGTTTATACGCCTCAACGTACTATTTGAAACGATTTTTAGGTAGGGAACGCGTTGCCGATCTATTAGTGCCGAAAGACTTCTATTTTCTGCAAAACTCAATCGCGTAGAGGTCGCTGAAGACATGTTGAAACGAGTCGATTCGCCACATTTATGAAACGCATTGTAATTGATGATGAGACATTGATTTACGAATTTGATGTGCAAACTAGTGAACAGGCTTCGGAATGGCGTGTTCCAGCTGAGCCGAAACCGAAAAAAGCTCGTCAAAGTCGATAAAAGTGAGAGTGAAGTGGAAAGATATGTAGAAAGAAAACTCATGGATTTTACACCATGATGACAAGGCTATCGTTGTGAAAGAACAAAAAAACCTAAAGTGAAGTCTTCATTTAATCGACTCTGAAACAATTACTGCTTCCAAACACTGGACGATTGCCGAACTAGCCAAACGGCACACCCATGCTCAATCCCTAAAGATATGGGATGGAATCAAAGGATCACCCTGGGCGATCCTGAGAAGCTGGCACCGAAGAAATATCTGGCGATGACCAGGAAAAATCTACGCTTAACAGTAGGATTTCTAACTGGCCACTGTCAACTAAGAAAACACCTCCACAATATGGGACTAGTGGACACACTATTAATATACAGGGCAGATTAATATACAGGGGGATATCTTTATGACAATTAACCGAACTTGTTTTTTAAAATAAAGGGGATATCTGTCAAAAATAAGCAAAACGTTATCTTTATCCTAGTTGTATAAAATTTGGCATATGGACATAAAATTACCATAGACACAACTTTTTCAAGTAACTTTTTGTTAAATTCGATCTAGAAATGCACTTTTTCAATAAAAAAAAAAGTTGAATTTGACAAACATTGAATGTCAGTGGGTCGCAGTTGGCCGCATCATTTTAAGTTAAATTCAAAGCACAAACAAGTGCCGAAGTTAAACTTCATTGAAACTTTTCGACAAAAAAGGTTCCCATATGGTGCGCACTTTAATGGTGACACTGTATGTAGGCCAGACCAAGAGACATGTGACATGTTGAGTCTACGATCATCTAATTGCTGTCTGAAAGTCAGACCAATGTCCTCGCCAGATAGAACGGTCAGTTAGTTCAACCGATCTGTGGCCCTTTGACTTTTGTTTGAAATTAGTGATTCGCAAAGCTCCATGAAAAAATCAAGTCGTTGGGACTGCGTTTAAATCTGATACTATTTTCGAAATTACACAAGAATTATCAGCCGTTATATTTTTAGTTCTAGTTTTGGCAACCGAAAGTTCAAAATGCAGAGAGCTGATTAAAAATGAAATAATACCTTTCCAAGGGGAACTTTTATTGATGAGAAAGTGATTGAAGTATTGCTTTGTATACCAACTCCATAGTTTATCAAAATCTCATTAGTTTCTTCGAATTCCGCAATTATTTTTTACATTTCCGAATGAAGTGATGTAATCATTATTTTGAAGCACGTGGGACTAACTACATGAATACCTACACTTCAGAAATGTTGGCCATGAATATCCGATTGCATATTTTTCCATACAAGTATTTCCTTCCGTTATCTTTTTATGGTATCAAGATCGTACAGATGGTACACAGGATGTTAGCAGGAAAAACTGACAGAGTATGCAAAAACAGGTTTGGGTTATATGGTGGGTGAGTTCTGCCTATAGACGAAGCTTTCGTTAGGATGTCATTCGATTAGAGTGCAGAATTCTGTAGCTGAATTTCCTCACAAGTCCACAACTTGAGCCAACACACATGCAATGAGCAGCAAGCGGGAGTTCAAACAGTTAGGCAATCAAGCAACTAGTGGTAAAGTTGACAGGGATCCAGAGATTTTGCTTCTGTGAATAATGTTTCGGTTAGGTATCTATAGTTTTTGCGGAGTATGATCTTTGAAATCCATTTTTGTGATGTATCACACACAGTTCACATCACTGTGGACAGCACAAACGTGCTGGGTTGAATTTTTTAGTGCATCGTCTTTTGACTTTCCCTCTAACACATGATAGGTTCACAAAAGAAAG